CTACTCTTGTCTCTTTTTCAGATGGGTAACAAGCCATCTTCAGCTGGCGCTCCTCTGGAGCGCATTCTGAAGCACTGGGACTCCTTTGACCCTAAAACTTTGAAGAAAAAGCAGCTCATTTTCTTTTGCACAAGGGCGTGGCCTTCTTACTGTCTCTGGAATGAACAGACATAGACAGCTGAAGGGAGCCTTGATTTTAATCTTATCCAACAATTAGATCTTTTCTGTAGACAGGAGAGCAAATGGTCCAAGGTGCCCTATGCACAGGCTTTCTTTGCCCTGCGAGACAACCCAGACCTTAGCAAGCACTGCACAATTGACTCAGCTCTCTTAGCAATCATATCAGGCAGGTCTGTGGAGAGTAATTCCCCTAAGTCAGAAGAGCAAGTTTTGGAGGAGCCACTGGGGGCAGCTTCTAAGTGCCCCAGTCCTAGTTTTCCTAATCTGGGGCCCCCTCCAACTGCACCATCAGCTCCTCCAGCTCCACCATCTCCAAAGCTCCCCACTGCCCCGGCTTCACTCCTACCCCTACAAGAAATGCCAGATGGAAGGGGCACCTCTAGGGTACATGTTCCCTTCTCATTACAGGACTGTAGACAAATAAAGGAAGACTTGGGCCGATCTTCTGATGACTGTAATAGGTAGATAGAGACCTTCCAAAATCTAACTCAGGTGTTTGACTTCACATAGAGGGCTGTTATGCTGCTTCTAAGCCAAACCCTCACTGCAGCTGAAAAGCAGGCAGCTCCTGACATTAGAAGGAAGCCACAGAAACACGTTATAGGACCAGATAGTACCTTGGAAGATCTCCTGAAGGTGGCCACCTCAGTCTTTTACCATAGGGACTGGGAGGAGGCCCAGGAGAAAAAGAAAAAGTGACTAAGGCTCGAGTGGCTGCTTTGCAGGCTTGCAGAGTCCAGGATCCTCAGGAAGCAGCCACTAATTGCTACTGGTGTGGCAAGCCAGGGCACTTTGAGAAGAATTGCCCAGGCAACAAGAAAAAGCCACCTTGACCCTGTCCAGCCTGTGGTGGAGACCACTAGATATTAAACTGCCCCTGAAGATGGAGGTCACTAAGTCCAGAACTGGTCTCACAGATGGTCCGGCAGGACTGACAGGTCCCAGGGCTCAAACCCCTGGCTCCAGTGGCTCAGACTGCCATCACTGCTCAGGAGCCCCAGGTGATTCTGGAAATTGAAGAGAGGAGGGTGGGCTTCCTCCTGGATACTGGAGCCAGTCTCTCTGTTCTCTTGTACAATCCAGGCCTCCCCTCTTCCCATAGCACAACCATGGTGGGTGTCTCAGGAAAGACTCTAACCCAATATTTCTCTCAATCCCTTAGCTGTAGTTGGGGGGACTTATTATTTACACTTGCCTTCTTAATTATGCCTGAAAGTTCCACTCCTTTATTAGGTAGAGACATTTTAGCCCACATGGGCCCAGAGTCTTCATGGCCCCAGGACAAACTCTTTGTCTTCCCTTAGTGAAAGCCAATATTAATCCAGAAGTGTGGGCAACTGGAGGAAGAATAGGTCAAGCTAAAACTGCTAGGCCAGTTCAGATCCACCTTAAAAATCCCACTTCTTTCCCTAACCAGAGACAATGTCCTCTAAAGCCAGAGGCCAGAAAAGGGCTAGAAGCTATTATTAATAACCTAAAAATGCAGGGCCTCCTCAGACCCTGTAACAGTCCTTGCAACACCCCTATACTAGGAGCGCAAAAACCCAAGGGGGAATGGAGACTAGTTCAGGACCTCCGCCTCGTTAATGGGCCATAGTCCCAATTCAGCCAGTAGTCCCTAATGCCCACACCTTGCTGACTCAAATACCTGAAGGAACTAAATGGTTTATAGTCCTAGATTTAAAGGATGCCTTTTTCTGCATACTGTTACATCCTGACTCTCAATACCTGTCTGCCTGTAAGGATCCCTCTGGCCAGACTACGCAGTTAACATGGATGGTGCTGCCTCAGAGATTTCAAAACAGCCCTCATTCGTTTGGACAAGCACTGTCAAAGGACCCTTCTAAGTTCTCCTGTCCTCAGCTCAGGGTCTTGCAGTGTGTCGATGACACTTTCCTCTGTGCCCCAATCAAGGAAGGCTCAGGAAGACGCTAAGACTTGCCTCCATTACTTAGCTGAAAGGGAGTATAGAGTCTCAAAATCTAAAGCTCAGCTCTGTCAGACTTCAGTAAAGTACCTAGTTCTAGTCTTATCAGAAGGGACCAGAGCACCAGGTGAGGAAAGGATTAGGCCCATTTCCTTTGATAGTTAGGAAAATTCTTGGGCATTAAATGGATTTTGTAAACCGGGAGTACGTGGGTACAGGGAAATGGCTCACCCTTTATACTGCCTCATAAAAGAAACTCAAACAGTTAAAACTCACCCCTCTCTTTTTTGGGAACCTAAGGCTCAAAAAGCCTTTAACCAGCGAAACCAAGCCTTCCTGGCTAACACGGTGAAACCTCGTCTCTACTAAAAAGACAATAAAATTAGCCGGGCGAGGTGGCGGGTGCCTGTAGTCCCAGCTACTCGGGAGGCTGAGGCAGGAGAATGGCGTAAACCCGGGAGGCGGAGCTTGCAGTGAGCCGAGATCGCGCCACTGCACTCCAGCCTGGGGGACAGAGTGAGACTCCGTCTCAAAAATAACATAACATAACATAACATAACATAACATAACATAACATAACATAACATAACATAACAGCCCGCAGTCTTTCCATGGGGAAAGCATTCAGTCTCTACACAACAAAAAGGAAGGAAATGGCCCTGGAAGTTTTAACTAAGGCTTGAGGTCCAGCTCGACAGCCAGTGAGTTACTTAAGCAAGGAACTTAAAACTTGGTGGCCAAAGGATGGTCAGTCCTGCCTCCAAGCAGTTACAGTAGAGGCTTTGCTGGTGCCAGAGGCCGCTGGGTTAACCATAGGAAATAACTGTTTAACGCCACACAATGTAACAGGACTGTTGTCCTCTAAGGAAAGTCACTGGCTAATAAACAATTGCCTCCTCAAATACCAAGCTTTGCTGCTAAAGGGATCTGCAGTCCAGCTGAAAACCTACCCTTGCCTGAGCCCAGCCACTTTCTCCCAAAGAAAACTGGAGAACCTAAACATGATTGTGAACAGGTAAGTGGAGCAAACTGGGTAAAACAAATAATAAGAATCACTGTTTGCATTCTCTGTAAAGTTTTAATTAATGAAAAAGGATTTTCTTAAAGAACATTCAGCTCAATTAAAAGTGGATATCCAAGCTATGGTTATACTTAAAAGGCCTTTATATTTTTCTCTTCATAAATCTTCTTTTCCTGGAAAACATTTTTTTCTCAGTCGACTGAATTTTTTTTTTTTTTTTTTAACTGTGTCTTGCCACTCTTGGTCTATCTAGAATGACTTCTGGTGGCCTGGGACTCCTTGGGGAAACAGAAAAGGCGCCACAAATCCCATTTTAGGAAAAAATCTGTTTTCCTCATGGAGCCTCTAGAATTAAAGGTGAATAAATACCTCTCAAAATCTGTCTTTGTCTTCTGGCTATGCTTGCTTATTAGGCCCTGGAAACTGTATTCCTAGTTCTGTTCTTAAAGAACCTCACTCGGAGGCCAATAATCCAACCGGAACATTGGCACGTGCAAAATCTTATAACTACTGGATCTTCTTCCTTTTGTCTGTGTGGTTACATGTGTGCTACTTATGTAATGTCTATTTAAAAAAGGAACTCTAATTAATTGGCCTAAGAAAAATAAGTGCGTAAGTCAAATATTTTTAAGGGAAAAATAAAAGCTGTGGTACCTTTCAGTTCATGTGACTTCAATCTTTAAAAATAAAAAGAGTCTTAGGAATTATTGGTAAAATACAAATGCCTTCAAGGTATAAAAATGTGGTCTAAATTATGCAGCTCAAATACTAGGTTTGCTAAATATTTCAAGGTTGTTGTAAACTGCTTTTTTTCTTTTTCTTTTTTTTTTTTTTTTTTTGAGACGCAGTCTTGCTCTGTCACCATGACTGGAGTGCGGTGGCGCAAATCTTGGCTCACTGAAACCTTTGACTCCCTGGTTCAAGCGATTCTCCTGCCTCAGCCTCCTGAGTAGCTGGGATTACAGGCACGTGCCACCACACCCAGCTAATTTTTGTATTTTTAGTAGAGACAGGGTTTTACCATGTTGGCCAGGATGGTCTCGATCTCCTGACCTCAGGTGATCCACCTGTTTCAGCCTCCCACAGTGCTGGGATTACAGGCACGAGCCACTGTGCCTGGTCGTAAACTGCTTCTTTAGCCTTTAAAAACTGTCAACTTGCCTGCTTCACAATTGGTAGGACCTGGGAACATATGGAAGTAACCATGCCCCTAACTATGCTGAAAGGAGTCCAACTTTATCTGCATCTAGCACATAATTAAAACAACCTAACAGGTTTTACATTAAAGTTAAAAATTACTATAAGTTACCATTATAACATGTGATTGAAACTACTGAACATGCAATTGCATGCAAAGTGTGTAAAAACTGTAAAAGATGTTTTTATTTAAAGATTATAAGGAGGCATGGAAATGTATATTTTGCTTAAAAATAAAGAATTGTCTTAAAGTAGAAGGTTTAAGCAAATTGTAAAAAAAGTTGTAAAAATTAATCTTGCAAAGAAAACTCTGTGTGTGAACATATTAACTAAATCAAAAGGGCATTATATGGTTTTTTTCTGTAAATTAATCACTGAAATAAAAGCACAGCAAGGTTTTCCTAAAATGCTAATCTACTCTTTAGAAAAACTTGTCAAGGGCTATAACAGGTATGTGAAAATCTCACTTCATGGTCAAACTGGTTAAAATTAAATAGGATTGTCTATAATGTTTCATTTAAAATTAAGGTTAACATTAATAGTAAACTAATGCAAAGGTAAAATTTAACTTTCTCTCTTAACACAGGAGTTTCATGGAATAGAAAAGAATGAATGGTTTTTGCTTTTTCAAATTTCTGGCTCATCATTTTGGCAAAAACAAAAAACTTATGGTAATCTAAAAGTCTATTTCATAATATCAAGTGTTTTAAATTTTAAATATACTTAACAGGCTTCCCAAAGTCAAACTTTAGTCTCAAGGTTGTCTTTCCTAACCCCTGGCTTTTGGGTGCTGCAGAGGACCCCCGAAGCATCTAGAAGAGAGGTAAACAGAATTATTTAACATGTTGAGGAACATAAAATTACCAAAATGATGTCTAATACTCTTCAGGTTATATTTTAGGGGATAATATTAACATGTGTTCCAAAACTGTGTGGGATGTCTGTGGTTCTAGTGTCTGAATGTGTGCTATTACAATTAAGCTTGTTATGTTGGGTTTTTGAAAACCACAAAAATAACCAAATTTCTTTGTTAATTGTATTTCTGACTATCCAAACTGGACATTTTGTCATTTACAGACAATTGTTGTTTTGTTTTAATTCTCTTCAAAAGATGGTTTATAATCAAGCCGTGGGACTTCAGTAAGTTCTCTCCAATGCAGGTTTGTCATGACCAAAAAATGTACAGGACTCATAAAAGGCTAAAATGTTTATCACTATCAAACAAAACAAAAGTTAATGGAATGAACTAAACTAATAGAAAACTAAAGCAATATTCCTCATTTATGCTTAGAACATGGCTAATCCTTATTTTATTTTTTAGAGTCAAAAAAACTTGTCTTTAGCTACAGCCTTTGATAACTAAGCAAAGTGTACTACTATAGGCAAAGTTTGGAGCATGTTTATTTCTCTCTGACTAATTCCTCTAGAATTTAGAAACTAGTTATAAATATTCTTAAATTACAACAATATAGTTGTTTGAATCAGTGCAACAAGAATCCATTTTCTCTTGCAACAAAACACAATCGGAAAAACTGGTTGTTTTACCAAGGCTTTGATTGGAAGGGTCTGTTTCCCTTTAAGGGATCAAGCTTAACTTGCTGAGCCAATAAAAAGCCCTGGGGAAAACTGGCCTCATACCTGTCTACACAGTCTCCACACCGGGTTCCTGACCTGCGGTGTGTAAAGAATGTCACTTTCTAACAGGCCTAGGAACCCCATGCTTCTGGAACCTCAAGAAGGAAAAGAATTTATCCAACTCACAGGTATTTAAAAGTACAAACCCATGGCTGGGCTTGGCTTTAAAAAGTCCTATCTAAAATTCCTCATGGAACAAGGTTCCATCAAAGCCAATCTAAAAGGCCTATATAAGGATGATTATTCTTGCTGTACTTTATGCAAATAATTAGGCCAAGTATAGGACTGAAGTCTGTTTTACAAACAGCCCAGTCCTATCATAGATTGTTTTTAACAAAAATGAGGACAAGAGAAAGAGAAATTATGTTTTAAAACTTATCATACCTCTGTTATCAACTTCTAGTCTCATTAGTTGTTTTTAAGTCCTTGCCGACATTTTAAACTATCCCTGCTTATTCCTGTCAACCAACCAGCAATCTCTGGCTGCAGCTCAGAGAAAACAGAAAGGCATGGGTGACAGAAAAATCTGGAAACATGTTCTAGTTCTGGGCAATTATCCTACAAATCCTGCCAGGTAAACTATAACCCCAAGGTTTCCCTCTTTTTTGGGAAAGGAAGACCAAGGAAGCTAAATAAAGCCAAGCCCCATATACCCACTTACAACAGCACAACCCATCTGAATGGCTCACGGGTATCAAATAAACTCTGTTGTCATGGTTACGGCCTATCGTGCCCCCACTAATAACAGTCGTCTTAATACTCATATTTGGAACCTATATTCTAAACCTCCTTGTAAAGTTTATCTCTTCTCGTCTAGAAACCATCAAGCTTCAGATGGTGCCGCAAATGGAGCCGAAAATGAAACTGCCCTCCTACGAAGGACCCTTAAATCAGCCCCAGGAGGAAGCCCCAGCTGCTGTTCCCCACACAACACCACTCTCCAGCAGGAAGGAGCCAGAAGAAATGTCACCCACTTTCCCCTAGCGGCAGTTAGGGATTCTATTTCTGAGGGGGGAAATACGTTATAGGAGTCAGAAATTATTTAGGTAGACAGTCTACCTAAAAAACTGAGTCGCTGGCAGAAAACTTTCCTTTTAACAAAAAGCAGCTGAAAAATAGCTCCCTTTCTAATCTCATGCAGTTCAAAAAAAGTGCTTCTCTTCTAGCAACAGGCAGCCTGAAAGTTGAGGCTGTAAAACACAGAGAAGATGGCTTGAGCACAGAAAGACAGGGGGAAGTCTCCTGGGTAATCACCAAACTTCACACTTACACAATGGGCCCCAGTAAAACAGTGGGTCTTAATAAGCATATTCCTTTCCCTTTAGGCGCACTAAGATAGAGGAGCTAAAAACAGACTGGGGGGATGTCTGCAGCTGCAAGAAGATGTGTGAGAGCAGACACAGAAACTCTCCCTCCCAGGTAAGCAAGACAAAGAAACACAGACTAAGAGTCCATCTATGTGGTCAGAGAATGGGATAAGAGCTGATAAAAAACTCTGCGCTATAGACGTAGCACACCTGGCCCCAACTAACCATTGGGCCCTAGGAGGCTAAGACATTCCCTCCTCAGGAGCCCCCTCCTCAGTAGCCCGTTTATAAAAATGCTGACAATTTTACTACCACTTGGCAACCTGCTCGGGACCCCTCTCCGTGATGGAGAGCTATTCTTTTCTTTTGCCTATTAAACTCCTGCTCCAAACTCACTCTCTGTGTGTGTGTGTGTGTCTGCAACCTCAATCTCCTTGGCCATGACATCAAAAACCTTGGTATTTACCCCAGACAACAAGGCTGCTTCACCAGCCTTCTCACATTAAATTCCACACATTGCATGTCAGTGCTGTCACAGCTGTGTCTATCACCACAGCAACAAGCAGAGGGACTCAAGGCAAGAATGTGGACTTAGCGCTGATGACCCGGAGCTTGAGATGGGATCTGCCTAGTGTGAGCCATGGCTCAGTTTCACTCACTATGTGACTTGGTGAGAGTTACTTGGCCTCTCTGGGTCTCAGTTTCACATGTGTAAAATGGGGCTAAAATGACAATAGGAATAGCTGCTTTCGCTAAATCACAGGTTGTTGCATGTATCCAATGAGATAATGTTTGTCAAAGTGCTTTGTAAATCTATGGCACCATATACATACCAGCACTAATTGGAAAACAAATGCATTTCTAAAATTTAATATGCAGATTCATGATGTTGTCTTTTTTTTTTTTTTTTTTTTTTGAGACAGAGTCTCGCTCTATTGCCCAGGCTGGAGTGCAGTGGCACGATCTCGGCTCACTGCAAGCTCTGCCTCCCGGGTTCACGCCATTCTCCTGTCTCAGCCTCCCGAGTAACTGGGATCACGGGCGCCCGCCACCGCGCCCAGCTAATTTTTTGTATTTTTAGTAGAGATGGGGTTTTACTGTGTTAGCCAGGATGGTCTCGATCTCCTGACCTTGTGATCCGCCCACCTCGGCCTCCCAAAGTGCTGGGATTATAGGCTTGAGCCACCGCTCCCGGCCGATGTTGTAATTCAAAGCAGGTTTAAACAACAGGGGAAATCCATAATGAGTATATTAAATGTATCATTCTTTATTAAAGTGAAGAACTAATGCCCCTCCCCATCCAATTTGTCCCAACTTTTCTCAACTTGTCCCATGTGTTTTCTTTCCCTCCCTCCCTCCTTCTCTTCCTTCTTTCTTTCCTTCTTCCCTTCTTTCCCTCTTTCTTTCTTTCTTTTTTGAGATGGAGTCTCACTCTATCTCCCAGGCTGGAGTGCCATGGTGAGATCTCAGCTCGCTGCAACCTTGCCTCCTGGGTTCAAGTGATTCTCCTGCCTCAGCCTCCCAAGTAGCTGGGATTACAGGTGTGTGCCATCATGCTTGGCTAAATTTTTTATTTTTAGTATAGATGGGATCTTGCTATGTTGGCCAGGTTTGTCTCAAACTTTTGGCCTCAAGTGATTTGCCCACCTCAGCCTCCCAAAGTGCTGAGATTACATGCGTGAGCCACCACACCCAGCCTCCCTTGTGTTTTATTAAAGGAAGACCCACGTGATGGCCAGCAGAAATGGCACCCTCCTGTGTGACCCTGTGATATGCAATGCACGCAGGAGGATTCACTTCTAGCAGGACACTTACCGAGCCCTTTCATGGCCTTCCTCAGGGTCTGGGCATCTTCCACGGCGTTGAATCCTGAAGCAGCTTTGACAGTACCTCCTTTGGTTGCCTGAGCACAAAAGACAGTGATGTTACTGAGAGGCAGCCTCTTACCAACATGGAGTCATCTCATTCGGCAAACATTTGCTAAGCACTAACCATAGCCTAGACAGTATTCTGGGTTCTAGGGATACAGAAGTGACCGTGAAAAATGGAGCTCTTGCTCCCTGGGACTGATGCTCTAGCTCATGGGAGGCAGACAGTGAACAAGCCAACAATTCTCAATTCTATGAACTGCCTGGGGGTGAGCAGTGCTGTGAAGCAGATAGAGAGGTCCTACAGGCCCATTCTGAGGAGTGACATTGAGGTTAAGAGCTGAATGAGATGAAGCAGCTGCCCATGCAAAGACGGAGGCAAGGGTTATGGGCAGAGGAAACAGCTCCTGCAAAGACCCTGAGGCCAGAACTAGTTTGTAGGGAGAGCAGGATAGAGGCCAGTGTGGCTCAAGTTGGTGGGCAAGGAGGGGAGGGGAAGATGAACTACATCACCATGGAATCCTGGTCCCCCCAAAAGGGAAAAATATCAAACCTGAATCCAATCAAGCCTCTAGAGCCAAAAACAAATTTACAGTAAACAGGAGACAGGAGAATGTTAAACCACACCAAAGCGTTGCAGTCAGCAAAATCCAGACTCTGAGACACAGCACTTAACAAACGACCTAGTTTCTTTGACAAACAAATGGCAAGGAGAATTTAAAGAGAGAGATGGAAGGGAAATACAGTTTAAAAGACATTGAAAAGGAACATCAATGATCATAATGTGAACCTGTAGTACCATAATTTGGATCCTAAATTAAACAGTAAAAAACAAAAGACATTTATGAGACAATGAAAATTTGAACATTGACTTGACATTTGATGACACTAAGGACTTGGTTTTAACATTTTTAGATATAAGAACGGCATTATGGTGATTTTTCATTTTGAAAAGAGGTTTAATCTACTGAAATAGTTTACAGATGAAATGATAAGATGTCTTGGTTTGCTTCCAAATCACACAGGTGGAGAGAAAGGGGAGGAAGTGGAGATAAAGAAGAAACAGGCCGGACATGGTGACTCACCCCAGCAATCCCAGCACTCTGGGAGGCTGAGGCGGGCGGATCTCTTGAGCCCAGGAGTTTGAGACCAGACTGGGCAACATGGTGAAACCTCATCTCTACAAAAACATACCAAAAAATTGGCTATGCATGGTGGCACAGGCCTGTAGTCCCAGCTACTCAGGATGCTGAGGTGGGAGGATCTCTTGAGCCCAGGAGGTGGAGACTGCAGTGAGCCGAGAGCACACCACTGTGATCCAATCTGGGCGACAGAGTGAGACCCTGTCTCAAAAAAAGACAAAAAACAAGAGTGACGATGAGTTAATAATTATTGACAGGTACACAAAGGGGTTCCTTATAGTATTCTGTTTACTTTCATATATGTTTAAAGTTTTCCATAATAAAAATATTTAAATAAATGAACTAAAAATAAAAAAGAAGGCAATCAGAGAGGTGGGCTGGGACCAGAGCAAGGCAGCCCTTCAAGCCAGGTAAGGAGTTTGTATTTTATTCTAAGTGCAGTGAAAGCCACTGACAGGTTTTGAGCAAGGAGATGGGGACACACGATCTGACTTAACGATTTAAAAGATCCCCTGGGCTGCTGTAGGGAGACGCAGAGACCATTTGAGAGTCTGGGCCAAGATCTGGGGGTGGGATATGAGCTAGACTAGGGTGAAATAGTTAAGATGGAAATAAACAGGAGAACAGACAGCTCAGCACATGTTTTGGAGCAAAGGCGACAGAACTTGCTGATGGACTGACGTGGGAGGTGAGGAAAGAAAAGAATCAAGTATAACTCTAAATCTTTTCCCCTGAGCAGCTGGGTATCATTTACCCAGATGGGGAAAACCGGAGGAAGACTACTAGATTTAGGGTGGCAGTGTGGGGTGGGATTTAGAGGTTCTATGTTGGAAATGTTAAGTTTGGGATGTCCATTAAATATCCCAGTGGAATTGTCAAAAAGACAATTGGTTACACAGTATAAGTCTAGAGGTCACATCCAGCATAATAAAGTTAGGACGCATCAGCATTTGGGTGGCACTTGATGAGATGACCTGGAAAGAAAGTGAAAATAGGGACAGGAACTTAGGATAAGCCTGGGTCTCTCCAACAGTACAGGTCCAAGATGGGAGAGCCCAGAAAGGATGGCTGAGAAGGGGTGGTCCTTGAGCTCATAGGAAATCCAGGATCGAGCACTGTCCAGAGGCTGAGGAAGGAGGGAGTAGCTGGCGCTTGGTCTAAGAAGCTTAGTGGGAAGGAGCATAAGCACTGGAGTGGGGTATGAATCTTACCTTTACCTCTTTCTAGCTGTGTGGCCTGGGACATTTCATTTTTCTCACTTGTATATTGGGAATAATAACTCACAGAAACAGGATAATATAGGAATGTACTTAGCACAAAACCCAGAAAAAAGTAAACACTAAAACAAAAACTCAGAATCATCATCATCATCATCATCATCATCATCATGAAAGAGGACTTCAGCTGTGCCTCCATAATAAATAAAATAATGAGATTCTTTCATCTATTTCTTGTATTACACCTCCACACAAGCCTATGGGGTAATGCCAAAGCAGAATCTAGGATGGAGCATTTGTACAAGGTGGCAAAAACGGTGTGGAATAGAGTTAAAGTTTTCTGATAATCTAATTGGACCCAAGAATGTAATATGGGCCATCTAAAGGAATGGAGGATTTTTATACCCTTAGTGCAGTTCTCTAGTGAGCCTGACTTGAGCTTACTGCACTAGACCACCCTGGCCTGGACCTCTCAGGCCCATAGTGGCCCACATCAAGCCCGTCCAAGTCCTCAGGTACCCAGGGCATGGGCCTTCTCTGCTGCAAGACCAGGCTTTCATGTCCTGGATATGATAAACATTTAGCACTTGGTCATCACCCTTTCACGTCTGACAGAGGAACGCAGAAATGTATGACATCAACTTCCTTGGGCACTGTTATTGGATGAATTGTATCTCCCCCACAAAAAAGACACATTGAAGTCCTAACCTCCAGCACCTCAGAATGTGACCTTATTTGGAAATAGGGCCGCTGCAGATTAATCAGTTAAGATGAGGTGATACTGGAGTAGGGTGGGCCCCTGATCCAATATGACTGGTGTCATTATAAGAAGATGTGGACATGAGAAGACAGAGGTAAAAGGGGCGAGCACCGTAGGACAAAGGCAGAGATGGAAGTTATGCAGCAGCAAGCCAAAGAATAGCTAGGACTGCCAGCAAACCCCCAGAAGCTAGGAAGAGGCCCAGAAGGCTTCTGCACAGGTGTGAAAGGGACCACAGCCCTGCTGACACCTTGCTTTGGGTTTCTGGCCTCCAGAACTGTGAGGCAACACATTTCTATTATTCTAAGCCACCCAGTTTGTGCTATTACTTTGTTTTGGCAGCTTCAAGAAACTAACAGAGGTACTTTACTTCTTTTCTTCTATTATATATCAGTAGTAATACGCAAATTGGTGACTTGCTGTCAGAATTCCAACATGGCCTTTGGCCCCAGCATGAGACAGCTTTCTCAGTTGAATGTTTCACAAGGTTCTTTTGGAACTCCCGTATTGAAAAATTTTTGGATGGCATTCAAACACTGCATTCAACTATTAAGCAAACTACATTGCTGAGGGACACTACTGTGGGATTAGGATTAATAGATAATAAGGTGAATCGATAGAGGAATTGGCAAGGGTGGTTCTGTTTACCAGTTAGCATTCTTAGTGACTCTTTTTCTCTAGGAAAAAGATCAAGAAATGTGTTCCCTGTTAGCCCATATTGATTAAATTTCAGAGTATAATATACCATTATCCATTCTGGGAAGACACGGAATTCTGTCCCAAGAGGGCCCATTGTGATAGCAGGCAAAGGAAACAGAGAGGATACAGAAAGGAATGATGAAAATGAATAGATAAAAATAGGTGCCATATCACAATTGATGAAATGTTGTTATTACATTAATAATGAAGAAGATATATGCCAAAAAGAACGGAATACAATACAATGGATACTAATGAGCAAAAAAAGGAATGGAGGAACAAACTACTGATGCAACAACACGGATGAATTGCAAAAGAATATAACGCCCAGAAAAAGAAGTCAGACACAAAATAGTACCTACTCTATGATTCCATTTATAGGATGTTCTAGAACAGGCAAAACTAACTTATGATAACACTCAGAAGAGCAGTTGCATTGCCTGTGTGGAGGGTGGGAAGGGGAGTTGATACAAAAGGGGCATGGAGGAGCTTCTAGGAATGATAAAATGTCCTACCTCGATACACGAGTAGGTTATGTGGGTATATACATTTGTCAAAACTTATCGACCAGTAACCTTAAAGGATGTGCATTTCACTATATGCAAATTATATCTCCATAAAACATGTTTTAAAATCTTGAATACAATGATTTAAAAACATATTGTAGAGAATTCAGCAAATTTTTTAAACATTAAGAAGAAAGCAGGGCGCGGTGGCTCATGCCCGTAATCCCAGCACTTTGGGAGGCCAGGGTGGGTGGATCATGAGGTCAGGAGTTCGAGACCATCCTGGCCAACATGGTGAAACCCTGTCTCTACTAAAAATACAAAAAAATTAGTCAGGTGTGGTGGTGGGCACCTGTAATCCCAGCTACTTGGGAGGCTGAGGCAGGGGAATCGCTTGAACCCAGGGCGGAGGTGGTAGTGAGCCGAGATCATGCCACTGCACTCCAGCCTGGGCAACAGATTGAGCCTCTGTCTCAAAAAAACAAAAACAAACAAACAAACAAAAAAAAAATTAAGAAGAAAATTAAAACATAACCACTAGAGTAAATAATTTTAATGATATGAAATGTAATATAAACATTACATTATCTCATTAGCATAGAGAAGAGATAAAGCATAAGATCAGAGTGAATACATAACTTGTTTCCTATTTTCCTGTACTAAGTAGAGGAAAAGAAAGGCTATAAAACTGTTGTTTATCCTCTTATTACTCTTATTGAAAAATCATTATACGTATGAGTAAGGTCTAAAATAAAATAATGGCAAATAGTTGGTGTTTCCAATGTTGTGACTGGATAGTGTGGTTTTCTTTTTAAAATGTCCTTTATCTGTCTAATAAATAATAGTCATGATAGAAAAACAGGTTTTAGGAGGAAAGATGAGAGCAACTGAGGTAATTTTCCTAGAGTGGAAAGCACACAAAGAGCCACTTAATTACAGTCTTCATTTGTAGGAAAGCTGTGAGCCTACTGAAGACAGGAAAAGCATCTCATTAATTCTGGGTCCCAGTACCACATCTGGCACAAAGTAGGGGCACCATAAGCATTTCTGAATAAATATTCTCCACGTTGGCTAGGCACAGTGGCTCATGCCTGTAATCCCAGCACTTTGGGAGGCCAAGGTGGGAGGATTGCTTGAAGCCAGGAGTTTGAGACCAGCTTGGGCAACATAGCGAGCCCCTCATCCCTATAAAAAATAAAAATAGGCCAGGCTCGGTGGCTCACGCCCGTAATCCCAGCACTTTGGGAGGCTGAGGCGGGTGGATCACGAGGTCAGGAGATCAAGACCATCCTGGCTAACAAGGTGAAACCTCATCTCTACTAAAAGATACAAAAAATTAGCCGGGCCTAGTGGTGGGTGCCTGTAGTCCCAGCTACTCGGGAGGCTGAGGCAGAAGAATGGTGTGAACCGGGAGGCGGAGCTTGCAGTGAGCCGAGATAGCGCTACTGCACTCCAGCCTGGGCAACAGAGGGAGACTCTGTCTAAAATAAGTAAATAAATAAATAAAAATAAATAAATAAAATAAAAAATAAAATAAATAAATATTTTTTAAAAATTCTCCATGGCTAGGGAGAATCAATCAGCAAGAAATTGATTTTAAACTAAAGCATGAGAGATTTGGGGCACACATGAATAAGCCTTTGACTGTCAGAGATCATGAAGAAATTTCTGGAACATCTAATGCAAAAAAAAAAAAATTAAGAGTATATTACTCTTTGTTCAGGATAATTCACTTTACACATC